ATATAATGAATAGTTGATGGGTTGTTTAGTGAAATTCATTTAACACTAATAAAAAATTAATTTTTATTTCCTTTATTTTGTTTGGAAGTTGGACCATATCATAAAAAAATAGGAAATTTTAATATTGAAAGCATTATTCTCTCTGCACAAAGAAAGATGGAAAGGGCAAAGATATTTGTTCTTCTTGGTAACCAAAACTAATTCTTAGTATTTGGTCTCAAAATGAGGGAAAACGAGAAATTAAATCCAAAAATTGGAAAAATACATTAAGCGAACGAGTTGGGAATAGCCAAAATCTCAGAAAAGAAAATAAGGATCTGTATCCGTTATATGACAAATATATAGTAGACAGATGAACAGAATATTTCAAGACAATGCTAAAAGGTGGCCAAATGCTGGAGTAGTTGGATGATATTAAGGGGACGATGCAGGTTTATTATGGTGAAGACCATTTTATAAGCAAGAAAGATTTGTTCGATGCAATTGGCAAGTCAGCAGGTTTGGAAGAAGTAAACTAGGTTTATTATGGTGAAAACAACTTTATTTTCAAATGCTACTGAGATTGCACATTGGGACTATCTTCACTTGAAAGCAGGTTTTAGAGAGGTCTATGAAGAAATGGGAATAGCTCTCTTCCTGAAAGACTAGTAGATATTAGCACAAACTGCACTGCTTTTGAGTCGCTAGAGACTAAATTGGTGAGAGAGACCGATTACCCTCAGCTAGTTACAGAAGAAAACTACCCGTACTACAAAGAGTTTGTGTATGGGTGGAAAGAAGCAATTGGACCTGCACACTTCAACCTCACAAGAAGAAGACATGCGCCAGGGAGGCTGACTGAACAAGGAGAAGTGGAATAAGGCCATAAACAGTAAATTTAAATATGAAAATTGGCCTCGTTACAGAAGCAAGCAGTTATGCAGTGACATGTAACAACCCAGTTCTGCAAAACCTGTATTGCCTCAATGGCAGGGTAGGGTTCAAATTAGAGATGGGCAAAAAGCACTCTGAGTAAAAAGTATAAATTATATAGTATTTTACTCAAATACCCATGCGGTTTGAGTACGGAGTACTTTCATCACTACTCAACCTGATGATTGATGAGTACAAAAAGTAATCAGCTGTCCTCGTGAGTACTTTTAGTAACATCTCGGATTAAATCAATATGAGGGTCGACTATTGGGTTTTGGGGGGTGCTTTTTATGAAAATAATGTCGGATTTGAGGTAGTGCCCCCAGGCACCGACTTTTTGTAGCATTTTGGATTTAAACGATATGAGGGTCGACTATTGGGTTTTAGGGGGTGCTTCTTATGAAAATGATGTCAGATTTGAGATAGTGTTCCCGGGCCCTGACCTTTTGTAACATTTTGCATTTTAATCGATATTAGGGTCAACTATTAGGTTTAGGGGAGCGCTTTTTATGAAAATGCTGTCGGATTTCAGATGGTGCCCTTGGGCCCCAACTTTTTGTAACATTTCATATTTAATCGATATCAGAGTCGACTATTAGGTAAATAATGTCGGATTTGAGATAGTCCTCCCGGGCATCGACTTTTTGTAACTTTTCTGATTTAATAGAGATCAGAGTTGACTATTAGGTTTTGGAAGGCGTTTTTTATGGAAACGATGTCGGATTTGAAATAGTGCTCCCGGGCATCGACTTTTTGTATCTTTTCTGATTTAATAGATATCAGAGTCGACTATTAGGTTTTGGAAGGTGCTTTTTATGAAAATACTGTCTGATTTAAGATTGCACCCCGTGTATTCACTTTTTGGAATTAGCCGATATCAGGGTCCTCTATTATGTTTTAGGGGACGCATTTTATAAAAAACAAGTCGGATTTAAGATGAGATAGTAAAAAGTACTATGAGGAGGCGCAATCTCAAATTCAACAGTATTTTCATAAAAAGCGCCTTCTAAAACCAAATCGTCGACCCTGATATCGACCAAATCCAAATTGTTAACAAAAGTGGGAGTCCTGTGGCCCTATCTCAAATCAAACATTATTTTCATAAAAAGTGGCCCCCACAACCTAATAATCGACCCTGATATCGATTAAATCTGAAATGTTAAAATAAGTCGGGGCCAGGGGGCACTATCTGAAACCCGACATTATTTTCATAAAAAGCACTCCCCCCCCCAAAACCTAATAATCGACCCTCATAACGATTAAATCTGAAATTTTACACAAATGTCGGGGCCCGGGTACACTATCTCAAATCTGATATCATTCTCATAAAAAGCGCCCCCTAAAATCTAATAGTCGACCCTCATATCGATTAAATCCGAAATGTTACAAAAAGTCAGGGCCCGAGGGCACTATCTCAAATCCGACATCATTAACATCAAAAGCACCCCCTCCCTAAAACCCAATAGTCGACCCTCATATCGTTTAAATCCAAAATGATACAAAAAGTCGCTGCCCGGGGGTACTATCTCAAATCCGACATTATTTTCATAAAAAGCGCCCCCTAAAATCTAATAGTCGACCCTCATATCGATTAAATCCGAAATGTTACAAAAAGTCAGGGCCCGAGGGCACTCTCTCAAATCCGACATCATTAACATCAAAAGCACCCCCTCCCTAAAACCCAATAGTCGACCCTCATATCGTTTAAATCCAAAATGATACAAAAAGTCGCTGCCCGGGGGTACTATCTCAAATCCGACATTATTTTCATAAAAAGAGCCCCCCAAAACCTAATAGTCGACCCTGGTATCGATTAAATAGTTATGAAAATTTGATGCCCGGGGGCACTATACTATCTCAAATCCGACAGTATATTTTTATAATAAGGGCCCCCAAAACATGATGGTTAATTTTATATCGATTAATGGGAGGTTAGGGTGGGTCAGATCGAATATGGCCACTATTATTGAAGGAAATAAAAGAAAACATTTATACTCTTTATAATAATGACAGAGTAGTTGAAAAATAAAAAGTACACTTTGTAGGAATTTGGCTAAGTACTTTCTGTAATTCGATATAACACTGCGAGTACTTTCTGTACTTAACTAAATCATGATTAACGCAACGTGAGTACTCTTAGTACTCGCCGATGTCAGGCCGAGTACAGAAAATACTTGATACTTCTTCCTATTAAAAGTACTCAAATCATGAAGGTAATAGAGTACTGCCCATCTCTAGTTCAAATAAATAAAAAATAAGATATTAGCACAATCCTAAGTATGAGGCCCTAAGCAGATATAGAGATACTTTTCTTTCTGGATGAATAAATATATCAGTATAACCTGCCTTAAAGTCAAGACAGTCCCCATTTGCAACTTCTGTTCCAATGTGCAGCTTGAGTTCCTCAACCCATACACCCATGGCAATCGACAATATTTGTTATTCTAGCTTAAACGATTTTTGAGTAGAGTATCTTTGGTACACAAAACAGGAATAATTCTCGATGGGTATTATATTTCCTTGTGTCTCCTTTCTTCTAAAGGGACAAAACTACAATCCCTTCATGTCATTTTCCAATACATTTATTGCCTATGTATGTGAAAAACAGTTTGGTTAACTTTGTTTAGACCAGCTGACTTGCCAATTGTTTCGAACAAATCTTTCTTGCTGATAAAACGGTCTTCACCATAATAAACCTGCATTGTTCCCTTAATATCATAAAAACTACTCCAGCATTTGACCACCTTTTAGCAGAATTTTGAAATATTCTGTTTATCTGTCTGCTATATATTCATTTAGCCATATAATGGATACTAATACTTTCCTCATTTTGAGACCAAATACTAACAACTATTTCTGGTTACCAAGAAGAACAAATATCTTTGCCCATTCCATCTTTCTTTGTGCAGGGAGAATAATGCATTCAATATTAAAATTTCCTATTTTTTTATTAGTGGTATATGAGTTTTACTAAACAACCTATCAACTATTCATTATATGTAGCTCAGATTAGGAATATATTATTATAGTTTTTAAAACAGGTATTAATATGAGTCATTTCCGGGAAAGTGTTAAATAGCAAACGTTTAATAAAAAATTGAAGATATTCAGCAAAGTACTTTTGAATTAAGTTTTATTATTATAATTAATTATTTTTACAATTGAGGTCTTCTTAAACGACCTCATTATAGAATAAAGGAAGTTAAATTTAAAAAAAAAATAATAATAATACATTTTAAAATTTTTTTGGACAGTTAAATTATTGCATTAATATTTGTTAGTTAATAAAAACAATATAATGTACCAAAAAACGTTATTATAGCACTATAACTAAGCCATTTATGAGTACTGAATGATGTGGTAGAGGCCTGTAGGCACCTACGCCAGTACGGCTTTTCTGCCACTTAAGTGCATTTTCTACGGAATTGCTTCAAATATTTTAAAAAGTAATGAGTGTTTTAGAAAGAGAAATATATTCTCCAGATGTTTTATTTCAGCACGTTTTGCGTTATTGTTAGCCGTTTAATTAAAAACAACCCTTGTATTTTTTTGTTTAAAAAATTGAATTTACTGGTGTTTTTTATAGCCTAAATCAATTATTTTATTATATTTTTCATGTTTTTATTATTCTCTGACTATCCAGCTTTAATAAAAGGTCAACCATGAAAAAATTCAGCCTAATGCTGATTCTCAGTGACCAAAAAACTAACTAAAGTCAAAGTCGTTAGTTCGCCATGCTTGGACGCCATTTTGGGGCAGTTAGTTCACTTTTTTGGGGGGTATCATTGGCATTTTTTTAATAAATAGTTACAAGGAACACAACGATATGCAATCTATAGGGATGTGGGGAGAATGCAGGGTAGGGGGGTCTGGCCCACCGTGTATAACGTATTACATGATCTAATCCAAATAACAAAAATCTAAATATTAAGAACCTGAAGGATGTAAAAAGAAAAAAAGGAAAAACTGAAGCATACAGAAAAAAAAGCAATATCACAATAGCCATCACCCACAGTATCAACAAAAATTGCAATAATAAAAATTGAGAGCATAAACATCAAACCATTTTGTACACATGAGTAACGTACCAATTCTTTGTTACACAGTACAGTCACCTTCCAGGTTTTTCTGTAAGTAAAACCAATCACTTAATTAAACAATAATATATTACAAAATATTATTAAACCTGTTTGTTAATATAAATAAAACTAAGAAACTATAACATATTTCACAGTTACAGAAATTATTCTAATACAAGTTATAAAACAAAAAAAGGGTCCTTAGATAATCAACCTTCTGCATCTACAATATAAATTCAATAAAACTTTTAGAAAATTTATAAAATCCCATAAAAATACCAGTCCACCCTTGAAAGTTTGCCAGTCAGCAATTAATAAGCTTTTAGGGATTGGTTCATAACTAAGCCCAACAACTTAACACACCCGTTTCAATTGTCCAGCTACTATTACTCTAATCATATTTACAGGATGCAAGCACTGCAATGTTGAATATAGTAGCCTACTAAATTCTCTACAAGTTTAATCTTTCTTTGAACCATATACAGATAGTCAAGCAGCAATTGGGGACCTAAATAGTTATGCAAGTCGCTCAAAGCTGGTGGATGAATGTAAAGGCAATCTTAATGAAATGAAATGAAAATAATTTTATTATTCTGGGACTAGTGTCCCTTTAGAATCTTCTTTGTAGTACTAACAAGGTAAGAGCAGAATGAGTACCTGGGCACTCAGGCATTCCAGGAAATGAGAAAGCCGATTACCTTGCTAGGAAAGGCTCTGCACAAGTGCCGGTTGCAGCAGAGCCTATTTGGGGAATAAGTCTTGGCTTTGCCAAAAGGCATATTAATTAAGGCAATCGTGGGCAATAAATTTATGCTACACTGGGTACAACTACACTGAGGGAACAAACTCATTCTAAGTTATTCCTAGTGGGGCCCAGCCATAAGAGAAGTAATTTATTTCTTCTAATGAACAGGAAAACCATTAGGTGGGTGGCAGGACTGTATATCGGTCACTGTTAATTAAATAAGCACCTATACAATTTGGGTGTAAGTGAGACCTCCACCTGCAGGCTATGTGGCCTGGAGGGTGAAACGGCCTATCTCATTATTTGTAGATGTGATAATTTGGCTAGACTGCGAATTGATTGATCCTATTATTATAAATAGATTCGCAAAGGCACCTGGCCTATTTTAACTGAGTCTAGGACAACGCACAATAGGCCTTTTTGAGGTACCCTTTGCAGCAGCTTAAACAAAAAATAAAATAAAATAAACGGTTCAACTTGCAGAAGCTCCAAGACCCGACGATATTAAACCAGTATACAGTTGAGCTTGACGAGATATTACAATCAACGCACCATGAAAGAGGATTGGTAGAAATAAGTGGAAGGCCTGCTTCAAAGATGAAACAGCTGATGCAATTCTTGGACCAGCCCAGAAGCAATGTCGTTCCCTGTGGTTTGATGACGAATGCACAAATGCAACTCATCGAAAGAATGTGGCATATAATGCTAAGACACAGAGGGGAACTAGAGGCAATGTCAAAGAGTACAGGAGACTATGTCGAGAGAAGAAACTTCATTGTGGGAAAAAGAGACAGAAAGAGCGTAAAGAGTTGCATATGATGGATGAACCAGCTGACGACTTAGGAACACAAACTGCTTCAAAATCCGCCTTTAAAAATTCAGCAGTCACAACTTCTGAGACCAGGCTAAATTCAGCTACAAAGTATGCTTGTATTAGGAAATACTCCAACTGGCCAAATAATCCTAGACAACTCTAGTTTTCAAACTGAAGCAACAACCTCAATCAACCTGAAGTCTCATAACACAGCTGCACTAAAATATACCAACAGGAGCAAGAACTAATCTCTACAAGGCAAAATCAGCCCTTGAATTTTGTAGTCACCACATAGTGGACAAGGCTCAGAGCACCAGCAGAATATCCTCATGAAGAGAAAGGAACTCGCTTAGGATGATCAATCATGCCCAACTGGACTACTAAAACAATTGCACAAATGCAACCAACACCTGCTGTACCATTGGTACCATCGTCCTACAGACAAAAAACAGAGACATCCTGCCAACCAGCCTCACTTGGCATTCAACTGGCACAGAAATACTTCGAACCGAAGATATCCCGCCAATCTGCCCACTAATGGCAACCAACTGGCGCACCACAGTTGTAGCTATCCCGCCGACCTGCCCTCAATTGGTAAAACACTGCAAGAACATGACCTCGACTCACTGAAGGCATCTGCCACATCACCCTCAAGGCACCAACCAGCTTGATGATGTTCTCTCAACATCTTTTTGGGACAGATCTTCTAGGCAGCGCTCATCAACAGTGTGGAACAGCTTAACGCCCACATCTGTACAATTATTTACCCCAAACAAACGTCTAACTGATATTGGAATCAATGTTGAACCTTAAGGTGGGGGACAACTACATCATTTGGACAATTCATCTGGACTTCACCAATGACTCCATCATTTCGGAGGGGAGTCCTGTAGCGGTTCCCGCTCTTGCCCCAGGATACGAGTTCGCCTTCCCACTACCAGATAGCGCTCTACAAGCTCGCCCGTGCAACGTACTAAAAATTATATCTTTTATTTTTCATTGTAAATACTTTTTATTAATAAAAGTTTAATGGCGATAACATATACTGATCAAAGCTCAAAAATAACTGTTATTGTAACGGCTCTTGGTAGCCAGTTTAATCTTGGTGGAATGAATACTGCAGTCAAACCTCAAGTTGTCAGATCTTAGGATCTCCACCCCTTCAGGGTGTAGACCTTTACGCAGATGGTCAGTATATGTCTCATATATGCTTTGGGTTCACCTAAGTGCACTTCTTATTTAACAATAACCTGATACCTTTATCCTCTTCTCTTACTCCATGCAAGTAGGACGCTGATCCCTCCGCTTGCAGTCCTATATACTAAGTCAGGAGATTGATTCCTCCGTTAGTATCTCATCCTTCCACAAGTCTGGAGTTTGATCCCTCCGGTTGTGGTTACCATCCTTGCGGAGTGTTAATGTTAAGCTTGATCTCTTACACCGCAGACTAAGAGTGATTGGGTGCTGATCTGCCTGTCACTTAAGGTCATCCTTCTATTCATCTTCCTACATCTACTTAGTCATCTTACCCCTTAATTGAGCAATGCTCTGTCGAGGCCTTCTGGTACTGCACACATACCTCGACATATACCTTGAAATACTAGTTTAGCGTTCATCAAGAGGATACTGAATTGATTTTCAAAAGGAAGTTTGGAATAAAATCGGCCCCAATAGGGGAATATTGTGGTAGTATCACCAGCTCCTAAACCATTTGAGAAGAACTTGGTCAATTTCGTTGTGAGTAGATCGTCGTTATTTTTTGGATTTAAAAGATTCATCACATTCAACATGGTCTCAAGTTGATTAACAATGTTTGAAAACTTGAGTTTAATTCTTGGGCCAGACTACCTATTGGACATTTCCCTCTCCAGATGATAGCATATGTGGAATTTTTCTTCCAAGAAAATTTTTTTCTGTCCTACATTCTTATGAGGGCTACTATATGGACTAAACAGTAATATGAATTTAACATGTTAGCTGCGGTTACAGTCGCCGGGTTCAATATTCGTCTCGGTTTCGGCTGGTACTGTTTCGAATTTTGCCTATCTTATGCAGTCTCTAAAATGGTCATTTTTAAAAGTATTCGAATGGGAGTTGGATTGATGTAAAGATAGAAGCCAATATAAATAATCACTATATCCGATACAAAGCTATCGGACGCCGGGGACCGTAACCATAGCTGTGTTAAAATTAAGAATGGGGAATGAAATTGATTCCATAAATGTTGTATTTAAATAATAGATTTTATAGAGAAATGAGATATAAACAGAAAGGTTTTTTGAGTTTTGAGTGCCGTCTGTCGCTATATCAGATAATGTTTTCTAGAAATTCTAAAAAATAGAGTTTAATTCAATCATTTGCTGTATCCATTAAAAACCATTTTACAAAAGCCTTCTGTCTCATCATATTTGGTATTTTCCTCATTAAAGCTGATACATCATTACAACAGATAAATGATATCCACTGTACATAAATACATGCATTCTCACATATACAAACACGCACTTGGGCATGGATATCTCTATAGGAGACTTGGCTGTGCTCCTCCCACATCCAGCAATAAATAAATAATATATGAAATTAAGAAATTTGGTATTTGAAATAAGTGTTCCATTTTTTGATATTTCCTCTTTTCAGTGCTGATAATGCTTGAACTACGACTATTGCATGCACATATACTGGTGGAAGGGTTCTTTAGTTCTTCAATATATCATTAGAAAAGTAATTTTTACAAATAGTGGTATGATAACAGTGCCTGGGTATCCTTTTGATTTGGTACTGTTAGGTAAAGATGTGGAAACATCTTTATATATGGGCTGGAGTAGCCGTGTGGACTAAGGTGCTTGCAATTGGTAACAAAGTTAAGCAACACTGAGTTTGGTTAGCACTTGGATGGGTGAGTGCCTGATTTGGATGGCCGTCCACCAGGGAAAGCCATGATGAGGACATCGACCCAGAAAAAGTTGAAAAACCAGATATAGTGGCTGTAGAAATAGCTATCGAAAGGCTTAAAACAAGAAAGGCCCCATTGATGGACAACCTACCGTCAGAACTGTCTAAAGATGGGGGAAATGACTTAAAAGCAAAGCTACTACAACTAATTAAGAAAAAAATTGGAAGAGGAAAGGATACCTCATACTTAGAATACGAGCCTGATCTGCCCTATCCTTAAGAAAGGCTCCATGTTTGAGTGCAGTAATTAAAGAAGCATAGTATTCCTTCCAGTTGCCTACAAGATAAAGACCAATATCCTTCTAAACCAGATACATCCATATTACGAAAATATAATAGGCAACCACTAAACTGGATTCAGAAAACTCACATGGTCAAGGCATGTTCAATATATGACCAGTAGAGCCCTTAAATGCCTATGGGCCTGCAAAAAAGAAATATGAAGGAATTTGAGACTCTAACAAACTAACATGGTGTACTAGTTGTACAGTATTACGATCAGACTCATTGTACATTACTCAGCTTAGCTATGGTGGCA